TTGATCTGGCGGTCGAAGCCCGTGGCTCGTCGACCCAGATACTCAATGGTGGCGTCACGCCCGTCGATGTCGTCCTTCCACGGCGGCATCTTGAATCGTGCTGACTTCTGATACCAACTGATGTAGGGAAAGCGTACGAGTGGGAAAGATAAACGAGTAAACGAGATACTCTCTCGTAAAACACGTAAAACTCACAATTAATTCATTTTCTTATTCAAAATCAACTTGAGATAACAAAAGAGGGGAGTCCTTTATATAAGGCTCATAAACCTTATTCCTAACTTGTCCAACAAGACAAGATCTTATAATAATATCTAAAAGCTAACTTATTCTCTAAGATAACTAATAATAATAATAATAATAATTATTATTATTATTATTATTATTATTATTATTATTATTATTATTATTATTATTATTATTATTATTATTATTATTCTACACCAGATCCCTTCTAGTAATAATATTAAAAATATGAGAAAATAAAAACTTTTGAGTCCAATTTTAATATAATATTATTATAAAATTAAGGCATGCATATGCAAAGACCAAATTAGTAGGTGGATGTTACGTTACAGCCTATGATGGGCCAAGCTAGTAATTTGGGCTACCACTTCCAATTTATCATGTAATGTCAAAGTCTACAATGGGCCCAACTCGAAATTTGGGCTGGAAAGACTTGAGCTTGGAATTATTGGTACAACAGGTCCACATTGGTTATGGGACAGGACCAGCCTGAGCCCACCTTTATTGCGGGAGAGTACTGAAGTATGAGTGTATATATATGATACTAATGAGCCTCAAAAATAAAAATAAAAATTATACAACTTTTTATAATTTAGTTTGTTGAGGCTTGATAAACGAAAGATCGAGCTCGTTTATCTGACTCATTTGTAAATATATATATAGTTGTCAATAATATACTAATAACAACATCATTAGTGATGGCATAAATAAATTTCACTTGTAATAAATTCTCGTGATTATCTCAAAGTATAACAAAAGTGTCGACCTCATCAACAGAGGTCGACCTCATAATTAAGTAATAAAACCCATTTTAACCGTATATTTTCCTTACCATTTCTTTCTGTCTTTACTAAACTTAATCTTAAATGTTGATCGGATCAAATAAAACCCATTTTGACCGTATATTTTTCTTACCCATTCTTTCTCATCTTTACTAAACATAATCTTAACCGTTGATCGGATCCGTCTATCAACGTCACTTAATTATCCAACACCAAGAGCAAAAGAGTAACATACAATACAACATAAATAGAAAGAACAAAGGTGGTTGGAAAACAAGAGCCTGCAACACGTTTACCCCCTCAAAAGGTTAAATTAGACCCATTTTATATATGCATGTGAGTTCATGCCCTAATTTAGTAATTTTGCCTTCTTTCTCTGTTGCAAATTTGCAATACAAAAGCTGCCCATATTTTGCATTTTTTTTTTTTTTTTT